TCAGGTTAAACAATTTCTCAATAGAAAGAAAAGACAGAACTGAACAAAGGGGAGGTGGCCTAGCAATTTGTATACACAGTAGTATACAATACAAGAAAATAAATCTTATTGAAAGTCAGAATAATAAAATAGAAAAAATAGCTATGAAAATTAGCTACAAGAGTAAATGGTTAGATTTAATTTTGATTTATAATCCATGTAATAAAATAGAAGAAAGAGAATTAGATCATTATATTGAACAATTAGATAACCCAAAGTTAATAATAGGTGATTTTAATGCCCATCATTCATCATGGAACCCTAATATAAAAACAAAAATGACAAATACAACGGGAATAAATTTATTTAATTATATAACTCAAAACAATCTGATGTTATTAACACCTACGGGATTAATCACAAGAATAGATCCTAAAACAGGAAAAGGTACAACCATAGACTTAGTAATAGGTTCGCCCGAACTAAGTCACTTGGAAATAAAAACTCTCTCAAACTATGGTAGTGACCATCTCCCAATTGTAATAAAAGACTGCACTAATAAAAACGAATCACATATAACAGAAAAAAAATGGGACTTCAATAAAGAAGGTTGGAGATTTTTCAAAGAAGAAATAGAGAAAAAAGACCTCAAGGACATGAACTCAATAAAAGAAATACTAGAATTAATAAAAAACACAGGCAAAAAATATTTCATATTTGACAATAAATCAAACAAAAACAAACCAAGCAAACCTTGGTGGAATAAAAAGTGTAAAGAAATAATAAAACAAAGAAATAAAGCCTTTAACAGATGGAGGAAAAACCCAAATGACATAAATAGATATGAATTCAAAAAACTTCAAACTAAAGCGAGAACCATAATTGAAACAGAAAAAAAGAATAGTTGGGAAAACTTTTGTTCGTCTCTGGATTTTAACACTCCATCCAGAAAAATTTGGAAATTCATTAAAAAACTAGATGGTAAAAACAGAACAAACACTTATCCACTAATTGTTAACAACCTTCCTATACAAGACACAGAACAAAAGCTAGAAGTCCTAAAAGGAGAATTCCAAAAATCAACAAACAAAAAAACAAAAAGATTGCTAACAAAAACTGAAATTAAGAACCTGACAGAAAAAACAAAAACTGAAGGAATAAGCAAAAATCTAACTCTAAAAGAATTAATTTCAGTAATAAAAAAATAAAAAAACAGAAAAGCTTATGGTCCTGATGAAATTCCATATGAATTCTTTAAGTATTGTCCCCAAAATATGTTAGTAAAAATCTTATCAATACTCAATATTTACTGGTTAAAAGGAGAATACCCTAAAGAACTAAAAAAATCATTAGTAAATCCAATAACAAAACCAGGTAAAGACCCTTCAGATAAGACGTCATATAGATATATAAGCAGAATATCATGCTTAGGAAAAATATTTGAAAGCCTAATAACTAATAGACTGAACTGGTGGTTGGAGATCAACAATAAATTAAATGAAGATCTAAAAGGTTTTAGACCAAACAGCTCAACGTTAGATGCCTTACAATTTATAGATTATCAAATCAACAAAGCTTATGAAGAAAAAAAATACGCCTTAATAGCTTGTTTAGATCTTGAAAAAGCTTTTGATTCAACAAACCATGATGCAATAGTAGCAAAAGCAGCAAAATTAGGTATTACAGGTGCCCCACTCAAGTGGATCATAGAATTTTTAAAAAACAGAACATACCAACTAGTTATAGGTAACAAAAAATCCACGGAAGAAAACATAGAACGAGGCCTACCACAAGGCTCTCCCTTAAGCCCATTATTGTTTAACATAATGTTATCAGATTTAACCCTTACAAACGAATTAAAAAAAGTAATATATGCAGATGATATAACAATAATATCCATAAATAATAGTCTAGAAGAGGCTAAAAACAAATTAGAACTAGGAGTAAAACAGATAATAGAATGGGCAAATAAATGGGAACTGTCAATAAATTTAACAAAAAGTAAACTTATGTGCTTTACAAAAAAAAGAATACGACAAATACCAATAATTCAAATAGACAACAAACCACTCACTTTTACAACTAATCACACAATTCTAGGTTTAGAATTTGATGCCCCAAGATTAACTTGGAAAAATCAAATTAACAATCTAAAGATAAATTGCTCTAAAAGAATAAACATAATGAAAAAATTATCATCAACAAAATGGGGAGCAAACAGAGAAACAATAATAAAATTTTATGACATTTATATAAAACCTAAAATAGAATATGGTATCACTATCTTCGGAACAGCCAAAAATACAGAAATGAAAAAAATAGAAATTATACAAAATAATGCACTTAGAATTGCTACAGGCTGCTTAAAAACCACCCCAATCGTAGCTTTATACTCACTCACAAACAAAACGCCCATCAAATATAAACAAAAAGAATTGGAATGTATGCAAATGATGAAAATATTAGAAAAACAAGAGAATAATCAAATTAAGGAAGATGTAACAGCAAATATTGAAACATATAATCCTGAAAAAGGTAAGAGAGGTATAATACAAAGAGTAAAAGAAACTTGCAAAGAATTAAATATAACAATAAAAACAAAAACAATATCAAACATAACTCCCATTCCACCTTGGTTAGATATTACAAAAAACATAGAAACCAACTTCTTAGATGAGCCAACAAAAAACATCCCCGAACTAATAATAAAGACTCAATTTATAAAGTTGGAAAACACAAGATATTTAAATCATAAAAAAATATTCACTGATGGATCAAAATTAAGCACAAATTCAACGTCAGCGGCCATATATATCGAAGAAAAAAAGATTACAACAATATGGAAATTACCAGACAAAACAGAAATAATTGAGGCTGAACTGTTTGCCATAAAACAAGGAATCAAATATATCCAGAATAATAGATTAAGAACAACAGTAATATTTTCAGACTCAAAATCAGCTTTACAGCTAATATCAAACCCAAAACCTAAAAATTATAAACACACAATATTTGAAATACAGACACTGATATATACACTAATATGTCAAAATCAAACATTAAGTATACAATGGATACCTTCACATAAAAACATAAGAGGTAACGAAATAGTTGATCAAGCGGCAAAACATGCTCACAACATATTAAACCCCACAACCATACATGAGGACAGAAGAAAAAAGATAAAACAAATAAGAATAGAATATCTTAAAAAATGGAAAACACAAATAAACACAATCCTAAATACAAAAAATTACTTTCTAAAAAACACTGAAAAACAACCATGGTCAAGATCAAAAAACAGAAAACTCGATGTGTGTATAACCAGACTCAAAACAACACACACAAGATTAAACCAACATCTACATAAAGTAAAAATAATAAATGACCCAACATGTAGATGGTGTCATCATCAAGAAGAAAACATACAACATCTCATACTACAATGTCCAAGATTTCACTCTTACAGAACAGACCTGATGGAAGCTTTAAAAAGAATCAAAATAAACAATCCTAATATAGACTTATTACTTACAGGTGCTGATCTTCCACCAATAAAGAAGTACTACATTTTAAGACACACAAAAATATTCCTAAAGAAAACGAAACTAATAGATATAATATAAAAGAAAAAAAAAAAAAAAAAAAAAAAAAAAGAAGAAGAAAGAAGAAAGAAAAAAGATCCAGGGGATATAGACTAGATAATAGTCTAAAACCCTATAAAAAGAAGAAAGAAGAAGAAGAAGAAGCTTTTGGCTCCTTATTGATTATATGGTAGGCGTTGAAATGTTATTTATTGCTATTTTATTCGAATATCAGAAGGTTAATTAGGGTGAAGAATTATGTGGTTGAGTATAAGGCATTATTGGATTATTTTACTTATTTTATTGATTATTTATTTTGCATTGACGTTCAAATTCAAACGGACACTTTTTTTTTCTGATAATGGGATTCTAAGTCAATATTTAAATTGGGTTTGACATTGTAACAAGGCTAGGGTGGAATGACAGATCCTGGCTAGCAGATTATTCTCTTCTTTTTTGTGTTTGTCGGTCAGGTTCTTTTAAATTATTCTCTTCTTTTTTGGTGTTTGTTAGTCAGATAGGTTTAGATTATCCTATTTTTTGGGGGGGTTTGTCAGTCAGTTAGTTTTAGATTATCCTCTTCTTTTATAGTGTTTGTGTTTGTCGGTCAGGTTGTTTTAGATTATCCTCTTCTTTTTTTGTGTTTGTCGGTCAGGTTGTTTTAAATTATCTCCTTCATTTTTTGTGTTTGTTGGTCAGATAGTTTTGAATTATCCTCTTCTATTTTGTGTTTGTCAGTCAAATAGTTTTCTTAATGGGGTGAGGACTTGGTGCTCGTGAAACCTTTCTTGGGTTTGATGGTTAAGTATTCCTGGATTTCGTGGTTAAGTATCCTTCGTTTCGGATGACTGTCCAGTCTGGTAGGTATGCAGATTACCTACCGAAATTGTCATCATGACACTCTGGTTTAAACATTATGAGAACTATGAAATTGTAAAATTATTTAGAATATCTATTTATATTTCTTCTGTGATTTAGATGTTCAACCTTTTCCATGAATGCATTTATTCTTTGGATTTTTTTCACGAATCGGCTTGTGGATATGACTGACTTCTATGTACCTTTATTTGCAATGGCAGAATTTTGATATGCAAAGGATATTGTCAGGAAATATCTCAATATCCAGTTTAGGTGACCAGTTGTCATTCCATGAATTCATCGGTCATCTTTGATTTGCGAGGAATTTTTTATAAACCTACCAAGCTGGTGCTGAGTTAAAATTTAACATACAGTATATGTATTTGAAATTACCATTGTTAATGTCTATTGCAGCTGCAAACTATCAATATGTAGTATGTTATATCCAATTCTATATTATCATTTCTTATTACTGTAATATTGTCACTATATTATTAGAATTTTGTGCTTATCTTATCCAGGAATTTAATAGATATATTTGGGTTTTAGAAGGGGAAAAGGTAAACCACCCCAGTCAAGATGGGAGTTGACTGGGAGTACCTGCGGGGGGTGACGGGCGATGCAGGGGAGTGGAAAGAGGCAGACCTGGAGGAACTCTATCAGGTAAGATCTATTGGTGTAATTTCTGTCTTTGGGTTAGATGGATTTTAAAATCAGAATATATGAATTTTGATCTCGCATTTTTGTAGTTTTTAATTGTTGTGGTCTTCATTGTACTTTTATCATGTCATTATATCACTGTAGCTTTTTTACTTCTCAGTTTGGACTCATGCTTATGAAATTATGTACTTCTGGTTTTTAATTAAGTTTTTATTTTGAAGAGTCTTGCCAGTGTGACAAAATTACGACCAAGAGACAAGACGCCAGAGAAACTTGAGTTGCTGTTCACTCTCACCCAGGCAGTGATGATGACCAAGTACTCACAGGTATTTCAATAGCTTTTTGATGTTTTACAGGAAGAAAAATCATTGTATAGTAAAAAAGGTCCTTGTAATAGAAACAAATAATATACCTAGGGACTTTTATTCATCTATTTTTATGATTATGTAGTTATGATTTTTTTTTTTTTTTTTTTTTTTTTAGATTTTAACATTATTAATAAAACCTAGATAAGATATGAAGTAGAAAGAATATTCCTTCAGGTTGTGACACTGGAGGAAGAGGTCGGTCGCCTGGCAGAGTCAGCAGGTCGTGGAGATGCCCAAAGAGAGCAAGAGCTACAAGCTGAGATTAAGCACCTGAAAAAATTACTTAAAAGCAGCCAGATACCTGAAGCTGCCGCAGATAGTGATGTTCCTTATGTATGTTTGTGAGGGATAATGTGAATGTGCTTAATGCATAAATTTACGTTCTGATCACTTGTGACATTTTTTTATATACTGGCTCTATGTGATTTCATAGAAAAATATTGAAATTATGTTAGCTAAATATCCAGTATATGGATATGTTACACATATAAGTATTTTATGGCTAACTTGTTCATGCGAATTTGCTTGTTAGGATTGGTCGAGTGGCTGGAAAATTAAGAAGAAGGAGATGGAGGAAGCTCTGCTGAGGAAAAATGAGGAGATCCAGCAGTTCATGGATGACTTACAGGTGAAAAGAAAAAGATTTTGCCCCCTTTTTACAAGAACTTTGAAATGATTTGTGACATTTTCCTAATACTAATATATTAGCAGAGATATCCATCAAACTCAATTTTAAATGAATTTAGGTACACTATATTGATAAATGTCATAAAAAGTTTATGAAGTCTTGACAAAATTATACATTTTTTTCAGACCTGTGAAAATGAACGTGCTTCCCTCCGTATGGCAGTGATGGAGTTAGAAGACCGTTTAGCTGATGCAACGAAGGAGATCAATAGGATAACATCTGATTACATAAGTGTTAAAGAGTCCCATAACCATGCTCAAGGTAATGACATGACCTTAAATGTTTCCATGTTTTGCTATATGAATTGACTTCTCATGTGTCATTTCTTTCTTATAGACTTTGAAAACAATTTTTGATATTTAATATTTAAAATGAAAATGACTCAAAGGCCAAGTAGTACAAATGGAGATAGCTGTTATCTTAAATAGAAGGGCTGATTTTATATAAAAAAAAACAATTATATATTCTCACATCATTGTACTTCATTACTTATCAGAATATGCAATATTGTGAATACTATAAATCAGATTCAAAGAGCAGGTTTTGAAAATGGAAATTCTGTTGTAATATATATGGAAATTGATATTAGAAGTTTGTAAGTCAGCATAATATTATTCTTAATGCACAGAGAGTCTGTCCATTATTCGAGAAGAAGTCAAGGGTCTCCATTGTCAAGTTGAAGAACTGGCAGCAGAGAAGAGCTTTGTGCAGGAGAAATATGACGAACTCAGCACTGCTGTGGATGCCCGAGTTGATCAGCTGAAGGTAGGTGTTGCTGCCAACACTTCAGATATGTGTAATTTAATGCTTTGTGATCTTTGGATTTGAATGCTTTGTTAACAATATTAGAAATACAATTTTATTGTCATTGAGAGAAGGTATCATAAGGGTTATGAACACTTACTTGTCTTTGTAAATAATTTTGCTCTCATGTGTATATGAGAATTTGAGCATCCAGAGGTGTTCTCAGACCATTTGCCAGACAGTGCATTTATTAAAGGTTTTGTTAATTCAAACTTCCATTTACAACATAAGCATATGTTAATGCACTAGTATCTCATGACTGTTATGCACTACCATGATTGATGCTGGTGTTAGAAATGAAGTTTTAAGTTAACAAAATATTTAATTAATGCATTTTTGGGCACCTGGTCTGAGAACACCTTTGGACACACTTTCATATCTTGGTTATGTGTGCAGATAACAAACACCACATTAAGAATAACATGTCACGTCTCCTATTTCTGTTCCAGATTGTTATTAGTCAACGTGAAGAGGAACTGCAGAGGGTGAAGGCTCAGCTGTTCCAGAGGAGTAGCTTGGGTCCTTCCTTCCAGCAGGCTCAGAGTGACATGTCCCATATACTTCACTTGGAACAGGTTTGTTATATGTATGGAATAATCTGGTTAATTGAGAGTGGAGAGAGTGGTATTGCTAGGAATTGACTGTTTTTTGCTTTTTTTAATTGTTTTGATGATGAAAAAGAAGTTGCAAATGAAGTGCATTTTATAAATTTACTTGCAGGAGGTAAAAGAGAGGGATGAAGAAATTACGCGTCTTAGTCAGCAGTTAGCTGAAGCCACTCAGGAAATTGAGTCTAGTGCTGTGATTATAAACAAACTCAAGAAGAGTCGAGTGTAAGTGCTAAACTTTTTACACTACTACTCCAACAGTTAATTATTAGAAATCTCTGAAAGTAGGTGAATGTTAGAAAAGTAAAACAGGATATTTTTACAGTTCGGCAGTAGAAGGCGATGCTGCTGTAATAAACCAGCTACGAGGAGAGCTGCATGAGGCACAACAGCAAGTGCAGCAGATGAGAACACAGCTCTTGGCGGCAGAGGAAGATGCCCAGCTCCATGCTCAGGATGTGAGTGCAAATGAGATTAAACTATTGTGCTTTGAAGTTTGAAGTACAAAAACAAAAAAATTTAGAAAATGTAGATCACTTTATCAACATTTTCTTCAGGTCTCCTTTGTTATTCTGATTTTTTTTGTTTAGGTCAACTGCTTTACTCTGTCTGTTTATTGTCCTTCTAAACTACCCCCTGTGTGCAAGGAATGGCTGGGGCTACCAGCCATTGGTGATGTAGGAATTGAAAGCAGGTCAGCAAGATAAAGAAAAAATAGTTTGAGAGTTTGTGCCGTTTTGTTCAACATCTCCCTACGGCTGCTTCTACTTCTACTTCTACTTCTACTTCTACTTCTACTTCTATTTCTGCTACTCCTACTCCTACTCTTACTGTTACTGTTACTCTTACTCTTACTCCTACCTAACTCTTACTCGTGCTCCTACTCCTACTCTTACTCTTACTTTTATTCCTACTCTTGCTCCTACTTGTACTCTTGCTACTTCTTCGTCTTCTTCGTCTTCTCCGTCTTCTCCGTCTTCCTCTTCCTCTTCCTCTTCCTCTTCCTCTTCCTCTTCCTCTTCCTCTTCCTCTTCCTCTTCCTCTTCCTCTTCTTCTTCTTCTTCTTCTTCTTCTTCTTCTTCTTCTTCTTCTTCTTCTTCTTCTTCTTCTTCTTCTTCTTCTACTACTACTACTATTACTATTACTATTACTATTACTATTACTACTACTACTACTACTACTACTACTACTACTACTACTACTACTACTACTACTACTACTACTACTACTACTACTACTACTACCACCACCACTACTACTACTACTAATGATGATGATTATAATGATAATGATATATATGTATATATCTTACTACTTTATACAATTTCACCATTAATCCAACAGTTCATTATTAGAAATCTCTCAAAGTAGGTGAATGTTAGAAAAGTAAAACAGGATATTTTTACAGTTCGGCAGTAGAAGGCGATGCTGCTGTAATAAACCAGCTACGAGGAGAGCTGCATGAGGCACAACAGCAAGTGCAGCAGATGAGAACACAGCTCTTGGCGGCAGAGGAAGATGCCCAGCTCCATGCTCAGGATGTAAGTGCAAATGAGATTAAACTATTGTGCTTTGGAGTTGGTACAAAAACAAAAAATTAAGAAAATGTAGGTCACTTCATCAACATTTTCTTCAGGTCTCCTTTGTTATTCTGATTTTTTTGTTTTTGTCAACTGCTTTACTCTATCTTTTTATTGTCCTTCTAAACTACCCCCTGTGTACAAGGAATGGCTGGGGCTACCAGCCATTGGTGATGTAGGAATTGAAAGCAGGTCAACAAGATAAAGTTTGTGTCGTTTTGTTCAACATCTCCCCATCTTGCTTCATCAAAGCCTTCTCTTCAGCTCTCGACAGTTATTGGGGAATTGCAGTCGTACATGGCCGGGGAATTCTCACTGGCTGATGCTGTGAGGGAGTTGAAAGAAGCGAGGAGTCAGGTCCGCATCAGGGACTCCCAGATCACACAGCTTACAGCCCTTGCCAATACTCTGCAGATTAACATTAATGACCTACTGGAGGAAAATGGTAGTCTCAGGTGAGGATGGATTTCAATAAAACTGAAATTAAGTACAAAATCTCCCTTGATGAATGTGGAACATTATACTAAACTTTTTACAGAGGCTTTTTGTATTATTTTTTTGTTAAGAAATTATATCAAATAGATATATTTAGCTTTTAGATATCTTTTTATGATTTTAGTGTAGCATATCACTTTGTATAGCACTTATTAAGCAGCAATATATTTACAGGGAACAATTGAAACTAGAGCCTCGTGAGGACATAGATATCCCAGGCGTTAAGAAAACTGATTGGCAGAATAGTAAAAAGATCATTGAACAGCTCACCAATCAGGTCAACCGACTCCAGGATGAGAAGGTCAATCTGCGAACAAAGGTAGTGTCTGGTTGTGATTTTGATAGTATGATTAATTGATTGCTGATGTTTTAGAGTGGTAAAGGTTTTTTCATGGATCTCTCTTCCAGTGTAGGACTTCACATGCCTTAGAATATGCTGAATTATAGCTTAGGAATATGCCAGTCTCTTAAGTACTGCTTTCTGCTGTGTGGAAGTGCACCACTGTATGATCTTCTAAAAAGCCTTGGCATATTTGTCAAAATGCATGTTTACAGAGAAATGATAATAGGTAAATTATTGGTTGAAAATTACTGTCTATTGAGAACAGATGATATATTACATAAATAAATTGGTATATCTCATATGTAAGGAATAAGGTCATTTGAATATTCATTTGTGCCTCTAGATTAAACCACTAAATCAGATGACTTTTCTCTTTGTATATCCAGGTCTTTGAGTTAACCAGGGAGCTCTCCAATGCTAAGGGGTCTGTGCAACTTACAACACTGGAATTGCCAAGACAGTTTGCATCAGGTTAGTAATGGGATTAGTTAGTATACTTTTTTAAACTGCTGAAAACAATGTTTGAAGCCCTAGAATGTAATTTGCCTTAGAAAAGTTACCAAATGTTCGGTAAAATTGCTACAGGACAAACGTCAGCGCTACAAACAACTCAGCCCCTCGAAGAACAGTTAAACCACCTCAGTGCAGCCGTTGCCCAGTTGGTGCAGGGTCAGCAAGAGGGACCGGTTGATGACCAGCTGCACCAGAAAATGGAAGCCCTCAAGGAGAAGTGCTTAAGGTTAGGGAGTTCTCTAGATGACGTGAAAAGAATTGTTATCACAGGTTTACTTTTCTGCTTTAGAAATATTACAAAGAGCCATGATCTCCAAATGCTGTCAAGATGTGTGTCGGTAAAGTATTGTTGCCATGAATGGGAAAGTGTATTTGATAGGCAGCTTTGCATCTTGTGTTAATACCATTTCCCAGGCTGGAGGGGGAGAAAGCTTCCTTGGAGAAGATACTGTTAGAAAGTCAGCGATGGCAGAAGAAGAGGTCCGACAGCGACAGGACTTCAGAGAGCTCGGCTTTTGACCCTAAGAGAGAGATGCCGAAGGACGAAGCCACAGAATCCGCAAGTAAATCCCCCGTGGCAGCACTTGACGAATTGATCGCTGCCTTGGGGAAACTCCCCCCATCCACTGAAGAAGTGATTGCCAAGCTGAAGAATCAAGTCAATTTTCTGATCCAGGTGAGGTTTTGATAAGGTTTAACAGATTTTTATTTTAATTGTTTGTATAATGTGTATAAATATAATAAGACTATTATAGTGTTTTGTAACTATTAAAGGTTATTGATAATTCTATTTGTATAGAGATTTGTTTATTATTATTGATATTCTTTTTAGCTTTAATGCAGTGATAATTTTGATGGATGTTTATCTAGCTTAGGGATATCAAAATATACATATAGAATCAGTGTAATTTTATATTTTATATATCATGCTCTAATAAAACAGAAACAAATGAAAACGTTCATATCTTAATAATCAGGAATGTAACAAACGGGAGCAAGAGATTGACCAGCGAGAGAAAGCATCCCACATTTACACGAACCAGTTTGATGACTTACGTACGCAAGTGACTGACTTGAACACTCAAGTAAGTACAATATATTATTTGATTGGGAGCTGTCATTCAATTACCTCATTCACATGCATTTTAGCTTATTCTCAATGCAAAGTGTGTCAAATATTCTTCTATGAATATAAATTGTGCACACACTCACACATACACATACATATACACACACACACACAAACAAACACACACTCACACACACACACACACACACGCGCACACACACACGCGCACACACGCGCACACATGCGCACACATGCACACACATGCACACACACGCACACACACACACACAGACACACACACACACACACACACACACACACACACACTTTTTTTTTCTACATCTACATACATAAATACATGAATGGTGAAAACACTCTACTGTGTTGATACTATGGTAGAAAATCTCACAATATTGATTTATTGAAAGTGAGACAACAGTTTCAGAATCTACCTGGATTCCATCCTCAGGTTCCATCCTCAGACCTGAGGATGGAATCCAGGTGGATTCCAAAACTGTTGTCTCACTTTCAATAAATCTAGTTTTACATCGTGGGTTTTTCTACCACATACATACATACATACATACATACATACATACATACATACATACATACATACATACATACATACATACATACATACATACAGAGAAATATTAGGCATATATATGAAAATAAATCTATATATGGATTAATGTATATATATGTATTCCTATATGTATTCATGATAGATTGACTAGAAACTGTATATTCTATGTCAGTTTGTTCATATCCTCACCTGCATATTATATTACAGTTTGCAAAAGATCGTGATGAATGGCAGGCTGAGAGAAAGTCGCTAGAAGAATCTATATCACTGTTGGAGGAAACAGTGAAAGCAGAAAAAGCCCGCACGGAAGAGCTCAATTCGACCATTGATGCCATTTCCTCCGGCCGGGGCGATGTTGACGGGAAGGTAAGGGTTGTGGGGGACAGGAGTCGAGGAGTATGGCTTAGGTCCTGGATTAGTCATGTTCAACCATTAATGTAGTTTTTCTGGATGGATTGATTGAGCTTTTGTTTTTCTCTCTAATGAAAGAGGCTTTAATTTGTATGAAAGAGAAAAGCCACATCACATTTTGGTACAAGAACCACATCCTCAATTTTTGTTTTGGCAGCTTGCAAAGAGGACTGCAGAGCTGAGGTACGACTTGGCTGTAACAAAGAGACTGAGCAATAACCAAGGGAAGGAAATCACAGTCTTGCATAACAGACTGAGGGAAAGAAATGAGGAACTACAACAACACATTCTTCAGAACAAACAGGTTAGTACCTTTTTTTCCCATCTTTTCTTTGTTTTTTCTTGTCTTTTTTTGTGTTGCAGAGAAAATAATAGAGGTTATTAAAAAAATGTAAGTTTAATTTAAATTTCTTTTCATTTTTAGATATCCTATTGATAAATAGGTTATTGTAGTAAATATGATAAATAGAGAAGAAGCAAGCAAGTGCCACTTTCATACT